CACAGAGCAAGTCGGAGAGAGAGTAAGAGAGAGAGAGAGAGAAAGAGAGAAAGAGAGAGAGAGAGGAAGAACGATCGGTAAGACAGAGCACATCCACTGTTACACGCACAGCACGTTAACGCGCCGGCTAAAGCTAAATGCTCCTGCCCCACCCCCCCTCCCCACTTCAAACCACGTGTGAGATTCTTCGTTGATAACGATGATCGGAAGTATCGTCGGAACGATCGTGTTTTCACGGTGACATCGTCGCGGAGACAGGTGGTGAAACGTCAATGCGCGAACAAGCGTCCCTCTTAGCGTCTTGTGGCGACGGCGAAAAGGACACCGTCATTCCACCGTTTGGAACGAAGCGCGTTCCGCGATCCACTCCGCGCGAGCGCTGATGCACGACTGTAGCCGAAGTTGCACGACAGCACGGCCGAGCGAAGGAGCCGAGAAACAGCGAAGCCGGCCGATCCGTCTCGATTCTGGCCGACCGCGGCCGAACGTACAAGATGGAATGCACGCGGACGGAAATCAGGCGGGATCGGAATCGGGATCGAGCTTGGGTTTGCACTGGGGCTCTCAGGATTGGGCTTGGACTCTCCAGTTCGAAGCCGATCCAAGGCAAACGACCGCTCTACCCCGCTTCTTTCGTTCCTCCGCGCTCCTTGCGCAGCCCTCACCAGCCGCTATAATCTATGTCTATTATCCTTCTCTCTGTGTTTCTTTATTCCCAGTACACCGGGGCCTTTCTGTCCTCCTTTTTCCTCGCTTCGTCCGCGATGTTGGTTTTCTAGTTTGCTGCGGTATTCACCGTGTGAAATTCACCGTGTGGTTCAGATGAACACGGTAATTAACGCGATATTTTTTAAATAATTGAAGACTAAGTTGAACGTTTGATTTTGTTTCGTTTCGTGCGTTTCGAGTTGTCGAAAGTAATTTATACCACTTGCGATGTGGGTGTAGCGGAATTGTTAAAAAAGAAAGAAAGGGAAAAAGAAAAATAAAGAAAGAAGACGGACCAAGAAGCGCTGGGGAATTTCTTTTCGTGTGGCGTTTGTTTTGCCGCGCAACCCGTGTCTCATTTGCATATCCCGGAATGTGAAATTGAAGATGATAAATAAGAGCAAAAGCTTCGCTTAATGGCAAAACCCGGTACTGAGGCGCGGGGCAAGACGTACAAAAATTCCTGGCATATCGCATACGCGAGGCGATACATTTCTTTTCCGTCAAATCGAATGTTATCGTTAATCACATCGGATTCTCGCGACGAAGATAAAGTGGCTCCCTGACGAATTTACATTAGCGCACGGCGGCGACATCGTCGAGAGATCCAGTCTTGCAATTAGAACGCTCACGCTTAAAACTCATACGATGGTATCGAAGTTACTTGGCAAACCTTTTTAATCGAGGACACTCCGTGATAATATGTTAATATTTCAAGAGTCAAAGGAAATCAACCTCTTAATCTCCATACATTCGCAGGAGAAGAAAGTTTCGTCGCGTTCTAATGAATCCTCTAACCGCAGGTATATTGTTTATACTTCTCGAAATTGTTCCACGTGGGCGATAATATTTCTAGAACGTACATTACTCAGCTTTACTTAGATCTAATCTCGTAATCGTGTTGTTAAGGCCATTTCCTGCGCGTTTCACTTCTTTGCGGGTCTCTCGGCACAATTTGGCCCGGCGAGCGTTGTCAGTAAAACGAAATTCAATGATAACGGATTACCGTTCCGGCAGATACACACGAAACGTTTATCGTGAACATCGGTGGCTCCTCTCCATAATGAGATGTACATTCTCGATAGCATAAAAATCACGGCGAGTTCTCTCGCTTTCTTCACCCACGCGGTCTCTGTCTCGTAAAACGTGACTAAAACTCGGCGTTTATTACATATTTACGACTATGGTTACATAATGCCGCCCATGTACATTTCGGCCCGGTGTCACTTACGTGTCGTTCGCCAATATAATGTAAAAATCACGATTTCGTACTTTCGAGAAACATACGGCAGTAAATACGTCAATGGAACGCTCGATTCGTTTTTGAACTTGTGAAATCTTTCTTGAAATATTACAATTCAACTCAAACAATGATCGATCCCCGTTCACTTTTCCTAGAAAGTTTACGAACGCTGCCGCACTCCCACGCACGCGACATTCCTCTTGTTCTTAGCTAGTTTGAAAAGAAGCTGACGTTCATACGCCCCGAGTCGCACACGCACCATTGCGCGTAACCACGTCGAGCAAGACTCTTGTAGTTTGACCATCTGCCTTGTCTTTTGTCAAGGATAACGATGACGTTCACGATGCCACTGCGACTGCTTCGAGGTCGATTCATTAAGCCGTTCCTAAATATTCGAGAGCACGGCAGATGATCGTCTGCGGATCGCGTTTGCTCTCGACGACGAGCGTCGAGTGGAACGCCGCGTGCTAGTTGCGAACGCACAGCAAGCAGGCCGGCCTGCTCGCTACTCTCTCGCGAAAGAAAGCGAAGGTATGCGCAGCCCGCGTGTCACTGTCTGCTTGTATTTAAATCGCTGTGCCGCGTATCGATCCGCGGCATTGTCTGTTCGTCACGATACGTGTCACGCACGTGGCTGCCTGTTTCCGATCGTCGATGGAAGCACCACAATCAAAATACATCGGGAGGCATAGTTTTCTCGTTAATCACCGTGATTACGCTATTTTCTCGTGGCGCAATCGTCACGGAAAGGCGCCTTTGTGTCCTGGCGACCGGATCGACTGCCTCCGTCGCCCCATACACCTGCGGTTGCTAAATTCGGGATCTTCTCCCTAGGATTGTGCAACGCGACCTCCTTCAGATTCATTTTAACGTTGCGTCATTCGAATCTAGGAATCCGGGTCAGATATAAGAACTTTCTCATCGTTTTGGAGCAGCCGGAATCGAATTACAGAAAGAAAATGTCGATAATAGTGTGTTAATAGCTCGCGTTTAAAGTAAAAATTACCATCCCTCGTGGATGGTCTGGCGCCACGTTGACACCCGGGAAAGGTAGTTCACGGCAGACATAATCGCGAGGCGATAGCAATTTGACCAGGCAAAGAATCGCCAAAAAAATAAATCAGCATTCACCGCGTGATTTATCGATCGTTTCATTTCACCCGGATTATCATTTCCTCGCGTCATGCTCCCGTTTGCCGTAGTACGAATCGCGTCTAATCTCCGCGTCGCCTGTATTGTTATTTTGACGTCCATTAAACGTCAATCTTTCCCTAGCAATTTGCCAGTCGTGACAGCCTCTCTGTGAACCGCCATTTTTCCCGGGCAATCGTACTTACACTCGCGAGTACCCGATATAATTCTGATTACGACATCGGTCATTCAATGTTTAGCTCGCGTTGAATTATTCCCATTCTCCATGGGCCAACGAAGGGAACAGCACAGTGTAATTTTAATAGCTATAAATCAAGGGACGTACGTGTTTTGCCGGTATTTTTTTTTTCCTTTTTTTTTTAACGGTGGTTTCGAACCAACGAGAACAGAAGAAGGGAGAAAGACGGCGCGGCAGAAGAGGAGAAAGAGAAAGCACACGTGTAGGCTCGGTGGCGCTGATTGCGAGAGACACGCAACAATCGCTGCAATTGACCGCGTAATAGAAACGCGTTATGCAGTCTACGGTAGGGGCCGGTAGGATACCGGTCGACCTTGAGAATGGACACGATTCCTTAACGTGCGTTTTCCCTTTTACGGAAGGGTTCCGCGTTCGCGTAATTGCCGCGCTGCATTGCTCGACTCGCGAAATTTCCACGGCCTGTATATCGCCGAAATCGGTTCGTTTCTTCCTACCGATCAGCCACGATTCGAAAGAACTTATCGCGAACGGTAATGTTTGAAGTTTCGCTCGCTTGCTCGTTGTCCACATTCTTATCCCCGGTTGTTGTCGTTCGAACGCGGCCACTCTTCGTAATCTCATTGCAAGAAGAACGAAGCGATCGTGGCAGATCGATCGTCCCACTTCGTGCTCGGCTATGTAAGACGTGAAGATAGAATGCAAACGTGTCGTAAAGTCTACGTGAATCTGACAAGCACAGTGACATCACGATTTGTCGGAGTAAAGAACGGACGATGTTCTATCGATGAATCGATTCGTGAGAAGAGCTCACTCTCTCCCCTCCCCCTCCCTTAATCGAACCAGGGCGAGGCAACGTGAGAGAACGACCAAAGGATCCATCGATATTGGTTGTCGTGCATTTTTTTTTTTTTTTTTAATGATAAAAGTCCATACCGTGGACTTGGCAACGAACGGCACGTATGCTAATTAAATGCAAATACGTCAGATCTACATAATTTTCCACGGGGATCTCTCCTTCCTGTGTGTTTCGCACACCGTTGTCTTTGACCAGCGTTGTCTGCTCACTGGAGATGATACTTCTCGTCGAAGGGCGTGCCAGCATTGTAGCACGAAGCAACGTTTCATGTCAGTGTCGCGGAAACAGTCGCGGAAGAGTCTCGCAGATTCGAGAGATAGCGACGAAGAATGGAAAGAGAGTTACACGTATAATTGGGATCCGCGCGTCTGATATTGGAAGAGCGCTACGAAGAAAACTAGAAGAATTTCTGGGAAGATGCGCACGGGCATAGATAGCCTCAGGTACACGACGCGGCGCGAAAGTGGAATCCTTAAGAAGGAGGAGGGGGGAAAGAATTTCCTTGCTGCCAGGTTAGCAGGTAGTTGAATTCGAATTCTAACGGTTCGTAGAGGGGGACTGCACGACCGACGCTGAAGAATTAGCAAGCGCAACGTTGAGAAATTGACCGGCTACTTTCGTAGACCGTAGACCGTAGTCGAGAATAATTTGCCGCGAGTAAAAGAAATATCCGAGGCTGCGAATATTACGAGTTAGCCGAGGATTAAGCTCGTTAAATGATTTACAGACAAGGGGACGCGTTTGCGGTTAACGGTCAACGAGCCGTCGATTCGTGAATGACGGGCATAAATAATCGTCCGATCGAGCACGCTCGAGCCGACATTTATCGTGATTTATCTTACCACGCATCCCGGCCTTTTGCATATAACTTTCCGCTGGATTGTAGGGTAGCTTAATTGACACGTCATCTCTTTTCGTGCTACGTGGGCAACCATTCGTCTTACCCTTCGATCCACGCGCGTTGGTCTTAAATCAATTCCAGCTATGGACAAATTACCAGAAAGAATTAATGGCTTCGACGCCGGTCCTAATTGGCCCAAAATCACGCGAACGATGGATGCTCGAGCACTCGGTTCGTACGCTCCGTACGTCTCGATCGATGGCCGTGCCCCTTCGACGCGAACAGCAGGAGATCCACCCTTGTCTGATTTTATCTGGTCAGCCAAAGTACCTAGGCTCTACGCCCACGTGAAATTAATAGCTGCTCGCTTCTTTTCCGGGGTTGATTAGGGGGGCGAGTTTACACGCGCGCGAGCGTGTGGATAACCTTTGGAATTTTTTGAAACAATCTCGTTCCCGCGAGTAGGTGGACGAATGAATGAAACTACCCACACGCCGACAATGAAGTGCTGTTGCTAATCTAAGGCTAACTCATCGCCGGGTGGTAATGGCCGGATTGAGAAACACCCGCTGCAAAGTTGCATCGCGCAATCGAATCAGCCAAGATATATGGCCAGCGTTGTCAAAGAGCCTCGGGAAACTCAGAAAATCGAGCAAAATGGAATACGAATTTTAAATTACTTCGAGAAACGTTCGGCTTTTATTGGTTACCTGTTCCGGAGACGGAATTTTTGTTATTCGTACAGACGGGTTTCGCGATCGTTTTTTATATCGGAGGATATGTGTTACGTACTTCCATCGTGCGTGTACTATGTTCTCAGGATCATCGTTTAATTACAAAGCAGATACTGCGAAAAAAAATTAATGTCCCCTTCGTCTCTTTTCTCTTTTCGTCACGTGGAAAGAAAGCAACGTTGGAAACTTTGAAATCAGTTACATGCAAGCGTCACCTTGCGGTGCCTCAAATTAACAAGAAAATCACGTCACGCGTGCGACGAAACATAAATCTGCCGCGAATTTGCATGTGTTTGGATTTGTTTTTTTTCCTCTCTTTCTCTCTCTCTCTCTCTCTCTCTCGTTTTTCCTTTCCATCAGGTTTGATTTTATAATTAATTAATGCGTTTCTCAATGAAAAAAGCTTGCTGCTGCGCGGACGAGGAAAAAGTCTCGGCGATAGACCGAGACTCGATAAATACGTATATTGGTGATCGTGTCGACGAATCGATCTTGAAGTCCCTGTAGGCGGTCTGACATGATCGATCAAATTAATACGATTCCAAAGAGAGTCGCGAATCTCCTTTCGAATGCAGTGAGAAACGGTGATAAATTGCTGGCGAGATAAGCGAGACAGTTACATGGGCGTGCAATATATGAAATCAGATGACTAGATTGAATTCTATAAATAGCGGAGGCTCTCTGTCCTAGCACAGCCGATTTACGTTTCACGAAATAAACTTTTACCAGTGGTAATTGCTGTTTTCCTACGGGAGTGTCGTGCGTGACAACTGGCTCTTCTTCGTCGTTTGTTTCACCGGCTTGTACAATTCGATCTCTTGCTCGATCATCTTGATTTTGTTCGTCAGTTCTTCCTTCATCGACATCATTTTCTGCATTTGCATCAACGCTTGCCTAAGTGAGAGAGAGAGAAAAAAAAAGCAACAACAACCCAGTCACATGAAATCGAATAAAACCACTTCACTGACTGAGTTAAATAAGCTTACTGAGACACTAAGAGTCCAGCGGCGATGTTCTTCTCGTTCAAGGTCTCCCGTACCTCGTTCAACGCCACGTGAGCAATATTCACGCGTTCCCGAATTTCGGTGTTCAGCCCGCGGTAGTGATCGAGATTTATTTGCTCAAACTCTATGTCGTCCACTATGCACACCTCCTTTTCCTTGTACTGAGCCACGCCATTCACCGTTTCTGCGATTCTGCTCGATAAGAGATCGCGAGAAGAGTCGTTTAAAGTATCCGATAGGCTTGAAAACGTACTTGTTTCGAAGCTTTTCCAATTCACGGTCTCTATCGTCCAATCTGTCTTTGTACCCGAGATTAGCAATGTGAAGCGCCTCGTAATCCATCGCGGTCATCCCCTCTCCCAAGGTCTCAGCGATTTTCAGTTGCACGTTCAAATAGTCGAGACGGTGTTGAAGCAACACGTAGTTGCGGCGATCTTGGGCTAGGATCATGCGTCGTGTAGCCTGACGGAAAACCCTCGGAAAATTATCGACGATTTAGAAGGGACGGGCGATTGGCAGAGAAAGAGAGAGAGAGAGAGAGAGAGAGAGAAAACACCTGACGACGTATCGAATTATCCATCATCTTCTCCGTGAGCTTTCTGCCGGTTTTCGAGAAAATCAAATCGACGGATATTTCTTTCTGTCGGTGCAAAAACTCTTGAAAGATTCGATCGTCTTCTTCTTTGAGCGCCTTGACTCTAGCCGTGTAACTCTGCAACTCGTACGCCAATTCGTCCTGCCGAGTTAGTAACTCGTCCACCTGTATCTTGTACTCGCGCAGCACTTCCTTGTATACCTCTTCCATTTGTTCGCGGGTCTTGGTGGGATCCGCGGGTGTCATTCGCTGTTGGGTCTGTGCGAACGACAGTTTATCAAACTCGATTGCCATTATTCATTCGCAAGAGGAAAAGAGGAAGCACTTATGGAACGAGAAGCATAAACAATGGATCCGAGCACTTTGGCTTGACCTTCTTCATATTTCGAGTAATCCACAGCTCAAACAGTCTGTTTTTCCGATTTAAATCGGACTTTTCGGCTAGTAACTCTTTCAGTTTGTCGATAAGCTGTTCGCGTTCGTCCAAAACCTAGTGTAGAATCAAGTTAGATCAAAAGCGGGAAAACAACGAAAGGTCAGAAACTTGGATGAAGAAGGATGATTTCACGCGAACCTCTGGAGGTATCTCGACAGGCACGTGCTCGATTTCCTCCGGGCTCGGTGGTTCTTCTTCAATCTCCTCCTCGACGGAAACCGTCGTGGAAGGTGGCATCTCCTCCCCTTCGCCTACTTCTTCCTCCTCGTACCTGTCATCTTTAAGTAGACCATCGATAACGTCCCATACGGACGTCTCTTCGTCCTCCTCCGATTCCTCCCCTTCAAGCCCAAAATCATTCGTTTCATCGATGTTGTCCAAGGTATGGCTCATGTCGAACTTATATTTCGGAATCTAACGAGAGCGAAATTGGGAAGCGAGCGTTCGACGAGTCAGATACCAATCAGATGTAAGTAGGTACCTTGTTATCGTCGTGTTCCAGTACAACGCCAAAGGTTAGCTTCCCTTTCTGCGGGGGTGGCGTCATGTTTCGAACAACCGAAGGACGCGTCACGGGCAGAGAAATCCGGCGCGTACGTAATTGGAGGAGAAAGGGACGTCGTGGTGTCTGAACGTAGACGAATGCGCGGAGGAAGGAAACAGCTGCTGGACGAAAAAAACAGTCGAACGAATTCGCCATGGCTGGATCGACGCCTCCTCGAGAGAGAACGCAGCAGAGCTGCATGCAGTCGACCTTGGAGATCGAAAATGATGTTCCCTTCGGAGAGTGCGCCGGTCGCTCGTCCTCGCGACGTTGCTTGTTTAACTGTTCGCGCCGGTCTCGCGTCCTCGCGAGCGATGTGCTCGAGAGGAAAAGTTTCTCGCGGGACGTCGATTAAACCGCTGCGAGCTACCGGACACCGTCTCACGCGCGCGGACGCACGGTGTATCCTGCGGTGCGCAGGCTATGATTTCATGTCTCGGTGTGCTTTATTCCACGCTGCCACCGTCTCCGCGCTGATGCATGAAAAGTTTATTTATGGAGGACGTGGCTCGTTCGATCACGCAAGAACCGCATGAACCGTGGAACACAACGAGCTGAAACCCGAGAGTATCGTTCTTTTCGCCGGACGTTAAACGGCCAGGAATTAATAACCAGCGCGTACGTCGCGGTCGCGAAAAATCGCGAGAGCCACGGCAACGTCACGTGTTGTTGTTCTCTCCCTTTATATTTTCATTCTCTTTCCCCGCCCTCCCCCCTTCTTCGTTCTCTATTCCGTTCTTCTACCCCACTTTGCTCTCGCGGGTTCTCGCCGCGGATACACGCCGAGGGAAACGTAGACACGACCTGTATGTATGTATGTATGTACGATAAGCGAATGGAGCTCTCGAGGAAGCTTCGGCTCAGGGGAACGAGCCACCCAGCGCAAGCTCGGATTCGGTTTCCCTTGATTTACCGTGGCCGCTTGGAGTTCTGCGCTTCGAACGATTTATCGTATAGGATGTTTCCCCATTTTAATCGAGAGATCTGCGCTCGCCTGATAAATCGCCCGCGTTTGATTTCTCCAGTTTAGATTTCACCGACGATACCGGGAATAACAGTAGTAACGGCGATTTGTCTTGGTCACTGTCGGTCAAACGAACGGCCAACCGCGCCGATTATCATCTACCCAATGCCCTTCGCGTACGCGAGAATTTGTACCGGGATCGCGCGCGGTCCAATGTTTTTTCTCTTTTTTTTTTCTCTTTCTCTTCGCGTTTTACACAAATCCGCGTTAAACAACGCGGTGGTGTTCGTCGTGGTGTTCATCGAGGAAAGGACGCGGAATAACGCGAGAAGACGACGCGTGCATTCGAGCAACGCCGGTCTTTGCTTTACGAACGTGGCCCTACGGGGATTAGATCTCGTGAAAACGAAGAGGGAAAGAGAAACGAGGCAACCTGGTGGCCGGACGAGAGACGGGGACGGAGAGCGAGGTACTTGAGGCCGCGTGGGCCGCCAAGACTGCATTCCTGTAGGATCAAGGATCCCTGCTTCACTCGCGTATATGTACCCTCCGCGTACGTGTCTCTGTACCCTATCTGCGCTGGTGTAACCGTGTACTTGTGTGTATATGCCTCGATGCCGGACCGTATGCACGCGGACGGGGCGCACGGTTACACGCAAACACCCCCTTACGAGCGCGCGCGCGCGGTTCCGGTCGGTGCGCGGATGCTCCAAGAGGGTCGTCACCGCGGGCAAGCTTCGATTGTCAAGTATCGAATCCCTGTGGCTTTTTTCCCCTCCTGCAATATATATATATATATATATATATATATATATATA